GAGAGAGAGAGAGAGAGAGAGAGAGAGAGAACGCTGCAGTGAATTTTTTTTTTTTTTTTCTTGAAAATGACTAGAACCATAGTCGGCAACCATAGTGTTCAGACTTCTCAATGGGAGAAACGTGGCGTTAGCCCGCGAAAGGATTAAAGACTCGCTTAAATTTCGCTACCTATAGCGCCTACGTGAGGACTATGCCAACGAGGAATGCTTGGTTGGCCGCAGTACATGCCCATCGACGTCGGTGCGACGAGGTCGTTGCTCGAGTCGTCGAAACTCGCCTCCTCGTTGTCGTCGCCGTCGAACGACGACCTGACGGTCGTCGTCGCGGTCGTCGTGACCACCGATGTGTCGTGCGTAGCTGTGGTCACTGCCGATCCGTTCACCTCTGACATACGATCCGTACTTACGTTGGTGGTTTCCGTGTCGGCGACGTCCACGTTCCCGCCGCTCTCGCCCACCATGTTCACGAAGAACTCCGACCTGGAGAACCTGCCGATCTCCGTCGAGCCGAATGCCTGGTGAAAGCCGGGCAACGGTTGCTTGCTGACGATCTTCTTCTTTGGCTCGAATCGTTCAGCAGTCGATCGACGGGACTCGCTCTCCTTTTCACGCGATATGCTACACTCCTGGATCGAGTGAATTTTTCACAATTAATTAATTAAATATTGGTCTATCGGCACTTACAAAATCTCGCTCGAATGTGTATCGTGAATTATAAATCAGTGGAGTGATATACCCTTGTTGGAGCTAAGTTGTCCATAGACATTCTGTTGTTCATAGCGTTTGGCTCCCACCTGGGCCCGTCATCCTCGCGGCGAATCCTCAGCGCGGACGCCGAGTCCATGACCGAGGTTTCGAGTAATCTTGGCATCTGGAAGAATGTTTCTGTCTTGAGTGTGTTTGAATAGATATTTCTGTTTCAAGTGTTTCAAGTAGAGCAAAACGTTCCTTTACGCGTGCCATTCCTCGTTTCTGAACTTAATAACTCAATAACATGACGTAAAATCTGAAGCTCTTAAGCTCTCAGATCATTGACATACAGATCGATTGACCCACAGAGTAATTCACATTTCTATTCTACGTAATGAGAAAGATTTAAAAAAAGGAGAAAGAACCTGGTGCTCGGAAGGTGTGTACGACGCTCGTACGTTCTCGAGATCGAGTTTACTTGGATGATAGACCATCCGCGGTGCTTCCTCGGGAAATTCGCAGTGCCCAGGAGGCATACGATCCCGCAGCAACATTGTATGTCGTGGTCCACGAATCCCAACGTTTCGAGGCATAGGCGGAGTGTCTGTCACATTACAATGACATGTGAGAAAAACGATACATTCTCGAATTTTAGATTTTAGCCTTTCAAACTACTTTCCAATCGCGATTTCGCGTGGTTCCCGGTCACTTACGTGGTAGCATACCGTGGCAAAATTGACCCCACGATCCGTGCCCCTGTGAACCTGGACTCTGAATGTTTGGGTGAAGAATGTTGCTCATCTGTGGAGGATGAGACGTTCTAGGATGTTGGTGAGCACCTCCGCCATTCTGTAATCAATGATTTATAGAAGTAAATGATTTCTAGATAGATTATATAGAAATTTATAGAATTTATAGACAGATTTATAGAAATAAATGATTTGTAGTAGATTTATAGAATTTCACAGAAATTTACAGAATTTATAGATAGATTTGTAGGAATAAATGATTTACAGATAAATTTATACAAGAATTTATAGACATAGGATTTGTAGAAATAAATGATTTGTAAATAGATTTATAAAAATTTAT